GGGAGAATGGGGCTCAGGAGATGAAGGGACTCACTCAAGGCCACACAACTGGCATGTGGTGAAGCTGGCACTGGCATCCGGGTCTAATTGAAAAGTCAACACCCTCTTCCTGCTTTGCAATGCTCTTCCACCCATGGGAACCCACTTGTGCTACTTCTGGATTTTAAATGTTTCTTAGGAACCAGGCCAAAGAGAAGTGACTTTGTGAATCCCTAACATATCTGAGGCCTTCTTTGAGGGGCCTAGAAATTTGGCATCAGAACTCCAGGGATTAGGTTCAGCTCCTGACTCAGTCATTGCTGATAGCCTGCCTTGTGTGCCTGTTGCTCTAAGTTTCCTGGAACTTTTCCACTCATCCATCATCTGTCTATCCACCATCCATCCAGCATCCATCCATCCATCCACCCACCCACCCATCCATGCATCCATCCACCCATCCATCCGTCCATCATCCATCCATCCACCCATCCATCTGTCCATCCACCCATCTATCACTCATTCATCTATCCACCCATCACCCATCCATCCACCCACTCATACATCTATGCATGCATGCATCCATCCATCCATCCATCCATCCATCCACCCATCTGTCCATCCACCCATCTATCCATTGTCCATCACCCATCTATCACTCATTCATCTATCCATTCATCTATCCACCCATCCACCCACCCATCCATCCATCCATCCATCCATCCATCCATCCATCATCCATCCATCTACCCACTCATCCATCTATGCATCCATCCACCCACCCATCCATCCATCACCCACCCATCCACCCACCCACCCATCTATGCATCCATCCACCCATCCATCCGTCCATCATCCATCCATCCACCCATCCATCTGTCCATCCACCCATCTATCCATCGTCCATCACCCATCTATCACTCATTCATCTATCCACTCATCACCCATCCACCCATCACCAATCCATCCATCCACCCGTCTATCCTTCATCCTCCATCCATTCATCCATGTTTTCTTTACTCACTCACCACAATGCATCTTCAATACATATCAGGCCTTGTGCTAGAGAGATAAGACATAGTCCCTGCCATCAAGTCAATAAAATGTAGCAGGTGTAGATACGACAGAAGATGTGGCACACTGGGGACCCACAGTGAAAGTCTAGAAGGGGTGTCCAGAGGGTGCCGTGGGGAAGGTGTCCTGGAGTCACTCTCACCATGTCTCTGAGGCTTTTGGACTCAACCCGAGGCCAGTCCCCATTGCTGGCATGTCACAAGTTCTCTGTGAAGCCATTGCCCCACTGCTGCTGGGAGTAGGGGTCCTCATGGAACCTACTGGACCCCTTCACTGGGCCATTTAAGGCTGGAGGTACAGACACAGCTTGGAGAAGACTTGGGTGACAGCAAAGTCCTCACAAGCACTTGTGACTGAGAGTGTCTTCCCTGGCTCAGGATGGATGAGTGGGTCTAGTCAGGCTGTTTGGGGTCCTTGGTCACTGCAAGGTGTGTGTCTGTGCACCTGTGTGTGTGGTCACTCTGCTGTTCACACTCTAACCTGGCGGAACTGATGTTTATTGGTCTAAGAGGCCCAAGTGTGCAGGAAGGCACCCAGACTGGCCCTGACCCAGATCCCGAAAGAGCCCTTCCAACCTTAAAGCACTTCCATGTCCACAGCCACCATCTCTCTAGTGCCCTACGGTAGGAAGGTGACTGGGCCTGGGCTGTGGGCCCTCTTTTGCAGGAGAGGAAACGGAGAGCTGAGGAGCAAGTGGCTTGTCCCAGCTGGCAGGCAGACCCCCAGGGAGGTCCAGGTGCTGGGGCTCCCGAGCCACAGGCCTACAGTGGATCCTGGCTCTGCCTCTCAATCCCTCTATAACCTGGGGCCTCACCTCTCTGCGCCTCGACGGGCCATCTGAAAAGAGGGGGGTACAGACAGCATCTCCTCGGAGGGTGGATGCCAGAATTACACGAGCTGGAGTTTGGAAAATGCTCAGCGGAGGGCCTGGCAGCTTGGTGGTTTGGGAATATTATTAATTACTAATTCAGAACTTCTGCCTCCTGGGTGCTCGCTCTTTTCACTCCCCCCCACCCCCCACCGGGCCTTTCTAAGGATGAAGACACCAGCTGGCGGTGGGAGGTGGTTGCTTTAAATATGAGATGAGAAGAACAAAAGGAAAATAGAACAGGGTGGTGGCTTGTGGCTAAACTTTAACAATTCTCCCCAAACTGGGGGAGGGTCTAAGGAGAGAATCAGACACCGCCTGCTCCTGTCTTTAAGGAGCTAAAAGCTCCACTTCACAGCCCGGTCACTGGTGTGGGCTGGGAGCCCACAACCCAAGGGGACACCCCCATGCTGGCCTGTTCTCCAGAGAGGCAGGAAGTAGGTTAACTGGGATCCTGGCGCTGCTTCTCTGCATCAGTTCTCAGAGGACATAAAATAGCCGCCCAATTTCTCCACAGGCCACGAGGAGTGCCTCCAAGGCTGCTCGCTCCTGGCGGCTTGCCCACTGCGCCCGTGGCCATGAGCCCCATTGCCAAGTCCGCGCTCTCAGCTTCTCACTCTGACTGCCCCCAGGGCCCCAGGCCCCCAGCACCTGCGCAGGCCGAGCTGGGGCAGGGGCAATATTTTGTTCTGTCTGATCTGCCCGCACTCACTGCTCTCCTAGGCAGGGGGATGGCGCCTCGGGGTTGGGGACAGTGACCCTGGCCTCTAAACAAGGCCGCCCACTGCCCACACCCCAACTACGGCCGGCCCGGCAGGAGGGACCAAGATGGTGGTGGGCCACTGTGCACGGAGGGCGCGGTGGAGACGGCCCGCAGCGGCCACGGGTCCTGCCTCTAAGTAAACGCCCGGGGCTGCTGTGGGCTGAGCAGAGGGCAAGGTGGAGGCCCGAGGCCGCAGGGGGTGCGGGGAGGCAGTGGCCAGGAGCCAGACAGACCAAGGCACTGACAGGCTGAGGGGGCCCCAGCCCTCTGCAGGGTGGGAGGCACCCAGAAGGCCCGTGAGCAGAGCTTGTGCAGAGAGATGCGACAGACGTGGAGGCCCGAGGCCGAGGCTCGGGTTCTGGCCTGTCCCTTCCCAGCTGGACCCTGGGCGAGAGACCTCCTCCTCCCCAGCCTCAGATTCCTGATTTGTAAATGGGGACGGTGACTACCGCCTGGGAGGTGTGCTCAGGATACAGGACATCGTGGTCATAAGGGAGGGAGCCCAGTGCCTGCCAAGTGGGACACACTCAACAGACGGCATTCTCTTCCTCCGCGGCCCCCGCAAAGCCTTGGCCTTCAGCTCGCTCCCTTCCCCCGCGCCCCCATCTTGCCCTTTGGTCAACTCCAGGCCCAGTGCTCCACATCCAGCGTTCTCGGGGCCACCGAGGATCTGCACATGCTCCTCCCTCAGCTGACGGCGCCTCCCCCTGCCTCGGCCCCTGGAAGAAGCCAAGGCCTAGCTCAATGCCACCTCCACTGTGAAGCTTTCCCCCAGTGCGCTGGGGCAGGGAGTTGCTCCCTTTCCTGAACCCCGTATTTCCCCAAACCCCGCCAGCTCTCTCCTCCTAGCGGATGACTTAAATGCATCCTGCTTTTCTGTTCATTGGTCTGTCTGTCTCCCTGGACAGACCTGCAGCCATTCACTGCCAAGACGGCGTGTTCTTTACTACGTCCCTCTCCTTTTTAGCTTCTGCCAGCGAAGGCTTGTGGACCCCCTGGCAATGAGCAGGGAGGCCCCTGTGAGGAAGGTCGGGGTGACCATGGCTGTCACTGACCTCGGGGAGCAGAAGGAAGAAATCCCTGGGTGACACAGCTGCCACGGCGCCCAGTCACCTGACCCGGACCAACAGTGACCACACCCTCTGTGGCAGCAGGAGGGGGAGGGAGAGGGGAGGGGCCGGCTGTATCACATGCCTGCGAGGCCAGCACCCTACCAGCCTGATCTCCATCTCGCTGAATTTCCACCCCGTCCGGAGGGGCCTGGGGTCAGGTGGTAGCAGCACGTGCAAGGGCGCACAACCAGAGGGCAAGGGCACGCCCCACTGGGGCATCACCTGCTCCAGGGGCAGGCCTGAGACTCCTGGCCACCTCAGGAGGCTGGGGCTTTACATCCCCATTCTGCAGACAAAGCAACCGAGGCACAGCGAGGTTAGGAAATGCAGGGCTGGGCGCGAGCCAGATCTATGGACCCTGGAGCCCACACTCCCAAATGCCACCCCCACCACCGCAGCTGCAGGCTGAGCCAGCCTCGCTCACTGGCACCCACGGGTGCGGATTCAGGGAGGGAACAGACGCAAAGCAGGCGGTTAATAAACCACAGCTATTCCAGGCCTTGGTGCCCCCTCTCCTGTCCCTCCTCCCTGTGCGCCCCCAATATCTCCAGCCTCAGGTCAGCCTTGGGGGGGGACCTTGACCTCTAGTGCCCCCCTCACCCCCAAATCAATTTTGCCTCCCGTGTTTCTCCTCTCTGGAGCAGCCCCTATACCAGTAAAGCCCTCTCTCCCTCAAGAGTCAGCTTTTAGGCCTCATCAGCCAGAGGATGAGCCCCTTCCTCCCTGGGCGGGTCCTGGAGGTGCCCCTTCAGCTCCCAGGGTGCCCTGTCCTATCTGCGGTCATATCACTTTTCACACCTGCTTGTAACGACTGGGTCCAAGCATTCCTCCACAGCAGACTGCGGGCCCCTGAGGGCAGGGCCTGTGGCTTTTCTACCTCTGTGACCTGCCCCTGGGCCCTGGCACTCACCAGCTGTTGGGTAAGTACCTTTGAACTAAAACCACATTACGTGAGACTAACATCTTTATGGCAGCTCAGACTGGCCATCGAGGGCGTCTCAGTTGGCGTCCGTGTGGCCCCAGTGACTGCGCTCAGCCCCTGCCCGGGACGTGAAGATGGGCAGCGGGGCCGGGCGAGCGAGGCTGTGTCCTGGGCTCCCGGGAGCCTCGCTCTTCAGCCAGAAGGCTCTCGGGGCTCCTGGGACCCAATGTGGCCCGAGGACGCCAAGCCCATCTTCCCCCCACCTCAAGAGGCTATAGATCAAGGTCCATTTTTGGTCACTTTAATTGTAAAAACCAAGACACGTATATAAATAAGCCCGCTGTGTAAAATAGGAATCCCCCTTCTACTAAAACCCTTCTCCCCACGCTCAAAAAAGACTATAGAAAAGCCAGCAGAGAGCGGAAGTACAAATCGGCATGCGGTCCCTGATGAGAAGAAAGCGGCAGGCCGGGCGTCCCTGCCCGAACAGGCCTCGCGGTGCGTGCGCCCCTGGCCCGGGAGCCCCACCCGAGGCTCAGTGACAACCACGCCCTCCGCCACCGGACCCCAAGTGCACAGGTGGAGGCGGTACAAAAGGTTCACGGCCTGGCGGCTTGGGGGCTGGGGAAGGAGAGCACGAGGGAAAGGCTGCTGGGTCCCCACGCCAAAGCCGGGGACTTGGGAGCCAGCGGGCCAGGGAGATGCCGCGGTGCGTCCAGCCCGGGGTCAGGCTTCTGGGGGCGGTCACCACTGCTCCGGAGGGTGAGGGGAGAAAGCTGCCAGGGCCCCTGGGGAGGACAGGCTCCCCCTGGGGCCATCTGCATGTGGCCGGCCAGCAGTGCGGGGCATGGAGTGGCGGGGGGCTCCCGGGAGGAGAGGGGAGAGCAGCCCCCAAGAGAGGTGGGGCTGGCGTGTCCCCACGAGAAAGCTCCCACCTCCCCACCCTCCTACCCTGTCGCGTCTCCCACCCCTCCCCTGCATCCAGACCGCAGCCTGCTCTCCCCTTCACACACTGGGGGGCCTGAGGACGGCTGCCACCACGGTTCACACGCCAGGCGCGGCTCGGGAAACTGGTATCAAAGGGCAAAAGGAAAGACCCCAGACTGTCCTTTGAAGAAGGAGGGCCTGGCTGGGGCCGCAGGGGATGGGGGACAGGGGTGGGGGACAGTGTCAGGAGCACTTCCAGACACACACAGCCAGGGTCCCCCCGAAGTACAGGTATAGGAGGTTCTTCACCTCGTGCGTGATCTCAAACCCAAAGCCCTCGCCGATGACCACATGCCAGGAGGAGCCGAACTTCTTGTCCATTGTCTCTTTGATCATCTTGGCAGCGCTCTGGAAAGAAGAGAACACTTGTCAGGCAGGAAAGGTTGGGGAGGGGGCATGAGCCAACCCCCCTCCCCTCGTCTGGGAAGCGGAAGTCTTGGCGGGAGAAGAGCCTATGCCTTACTGTTCTCCCTCCTGCCAGGGGCGGTCACACAGGGACGATCAGTCAAGAAAACACTGGCGAGGTGGGTGCAGCAGGAGCTGGTCTGAAGACAGAGCCCTGGGTCTGTGCTTGGGCTCCGGCTTTCAGCGCCCGTTTCCAGAGCCGGCGCCACAAGGCTGCGGTCGGGACTGAGTCCAGCACCGTCTGACAGCACGCTGAGCACCGCACGCGATCATCGTCACTGCGAGGTGTCAGGTTTATCTTCAGGGGACAGGGAAGCTGTTCCCTAATGGGCTTGGGGAACTTCCGGAAGGGAAGTTGGACCGCTTCCCTCAGTTACGGCATAGCCCCCACTCCTTCCTGTGCTGGCTCTTTCAAGAAGCTTCTTTTGAGAAGAGGCCTAGGGAGGGGCAGAGGACCCAGGCTTTGAGGGGGAGGCCGTGCTCAGGTGGGTGCCGAGCATCACCACCGTGCCAGGCGCTTGGCCCACATCCTCAGGACGCGCGTTCTCACAGCCGCCCAGTGAGGAGGAAGCATCCGGCTCCCCGTTAACAGACTGGGAAGCTGGGGCTTGGAGACGAGAAATGGCGTATCCAAGGTTAAAGAGCTAGGAAGGGCTGGAGACAGCATTTGAACTTGGGCCTGGATCTGCCTCTCCGCTGGCTGTCTGGATACTGACTTCTTTTCTCACTCATCACCGGACTGAGGAATGACATTCCTGCGTCACTGCCTGTAGGCCGTACCCCGGCACCCGGGACAGTGACTGGCACAAGGGAGGGTGTTCAACATCTTTTCTGGATGGATGAATGGATACATGAATGAATGCCTGGGGGGGCCTCTGTTCTCCACTGGGATGGAGCCAAAGGGGAAAGGTGCCTACTCAGCAGGCCCCCGGGACAGGGAACACAGCACAGAGAGCCCTGTAGGGCTGGGTGTGACCGCCGTCAGATCAGTGCCCCAGAGACAGCACCAGCCTCTTCTCTTGCTGGCTTTCCTCGGGCTTCGATCGCTTCTAAGGAAGGCACTAGCCAGGTCCCAGTAGGACTCTCTGGAGCTGGCTGCGGGCACCAGGGCCACTGGATTCACCCAGGGGGTCACCAAAGGCACAGGGGCCGCCCTGTAGCAATGGCAATACCTCGTTGTTGTTGGAGAATTTCTCACAGGCCGTGACGCACAGCTCCATGGTCTCCACTCGCATCTCCTCTGGCATGTCCGAGTGCTAGACAGGGCGGGGGACAAACAGAAAGGCTCAGCCCACGAGCTGGCCCTCTGGGCTGGCCTCTCTGTCCCCAACTTAAGGCGTGGACACTGGGTAGCTGCCCTGGCACAGCCTGGGCAAGAGCCCGGAGAGGTGACCCAGCTCCTGACTCGGGGCGTGCAGCCGGGACAGAGGGCGTGGAATCCGGGGCAGCCCAGGCCCCTCTGCAAAGGCACGAAGCTTCTTCTAGAGATGACAGACATGGGGAGAGGGCCGGCCTGGGGCAGGAGAGGAGGCCGGTTACAGAAGGAGTCCACACTGGCCCCAGGGCACAGCGGGGCCGCAGCCCAAAGGCCTAAAGAGACATCTCCCAGTTCTTCCTGACTCTGGCTGCTCTTTCTTGTCCACTTAGCTGGCTCCCCCTCCTGCCCGATTGCGGGAGGGCCCTGGGCTTCGTCTCTACCCTCTCTCTTCACCAATCTCCTCTCCCGGAGACCCTACCCTGTTCTGTGGGTTTGTGTGTCTTCTACGTGAGGGTTCTTACATTTCCATTCCGGCTATAACCCTTTTTGGGGGCTCTGGACTCCTATGTCCAACTCTCTTGACAAGTGTAGACATCTAAAAGCTAACTCGACTTTCCCCACAAACCTACTCTGCCTGTGTCTTCCTTTTCTTGGTAATCGACACCATTTCTCTCCTGAGTTTAGGGGAAAAAAAGCGGGGGGGGGGCGCCGGGGAGCTATCCTTGACTATCTTGCTCTCCTATCAGGCACCCAATGCACCAGTGAGCTCTAGCACCTCGACCTTCAGGATGGGTCCTGAGTCTAACCATGTCCACCTGCACTGCACGGCCGGGAGGCAGCCACCCCCTCATGTGTTTGGGCCTCTGCAGCAGTGTCCTCACTGATCTCCCCACTTCTACTCTGGTCCCCTAAAGCCCATTCTCCTTACACCAGTGCGAGCGATCCTGTAAAAACCTCACACGGATCCCACCGCTCTTTTTAAAACACCTGCTATTCCCTGGGAGCCCGGGATGGCATCTACGCACTTCACCACAACAGGCACAGCGGCTGGCCCACCCGTGCTTCCCCAGACCTCTTGCAAGGCTCTGTCCCTAACTTTATTCAAGCCTCTGATCAGAGAACTCTGTCCGGAAGCTCACCTCCATTCTCTAGCCCCTGACACCTGCTGTCTTTTTCTTTATAGCACTAATTACCTCGATTACGTTCCTTAAATCTTTCCTTCATGTGACCCAGGCCTGTGTCTGTCTTGTGCACTATTATATCCACGGTGCCTGGAACAGAGCCCGACGTGCGGCAGGTGGCCTCGGTAAGTACTTGTCGAATGAGTGAAGGAATGAAGCACTGTCGACTCCCAGGCCTCCAGATCTGAGCCAGGAGGGCCTTTACTTCCTCCTCCCGCTGTCCAGCAGGGAATGGGCTCCCTGCCTCACTCCGAGGCTGTGCGGGCCCTGCGGCCACCCGGCCTCCCTCCCCCGGGGCTTACCCTGACCAGAGGGAAGGTCTGCAGTCGCTTATAATCAGCCTCATCTTTCTTCCCTTCTGTTTCTCCCATGATCCTTCCACCGTGACCCCCAGAGGGAGAGAGTGGGCTCTCGGGAGGGGCGGGCACCGGCAGTTAAGACACCCTGGAGACTCAGGAAGCAGGCCCTGCCAACTGGGTGGGAGCAGAAAATGTCTTTCCTCGAGGGGTGCTGTGGAAAACAGGAAAAACCAGGAGAAAGAGTTGGCTTTAGAACCACACATCACAAATTAGAAATGCCTCACTGACAATGTGGCACCTCCCCATCCTGACTCCTCCGCATCCTTTTCCAAATGGCCAGCAAGTCTGCAGACGGGAGGATGAGTCAACGCGAGAAGCTGGGACGTGGCGGTTAGGAACACACTGGTGGCGGCTCCGAGCCCACACCGTCATTATCAAGACAAATACTGAGCACGGGCCAGGCCGAGGATGGAGCCTAGGGCGCGCAACGAACAAACGCGGCTTCTCTGCATGCACACGCTCCTTCCCTCCCAGCATGCGTAGTTGGAAAGGGAAATGTCAGGCCATGATCAACAATCCCGGGCTCGTGGGCAAGTGAGTGCCTCTTCCACGGGTCCCTGGTCTGCGGAAGGAATGGGAACAGTGGTGTTCCGTGCTGACCTTGGCATGCCAGGCTCCTGGCTCTTCCCGCCCACTCCCCCTCAGGCCTGCCTGGGCCAGAAGCTGTAAGGCTTGGGCCTCCGAGTCCTCACCAGGATGCTGGGGGCAGTCACGTCTATCCTACGGGACTGTTAGGAGACTCAGAGGAGAATGTACGCAAAGCGGCTAAACTGGCACCGGGCACACGGCCACATATGTGAGAGAAGTGCGTGGACATGAATGAGAACTTATAAAGCCTAATACATATGTCTGGATTTTTTTTTCTTTCCAAATCTAGTTATGTAATAACAGATGGGACTTTTCCTAAAGAGAGAAGCAGGGTCCTAAATGTCTGTGAGCATTGCTGGAAGTCCTGCTGTTTCTCGTTATTCCACAATTCAATTTAGCCCAAAATTCCAAGGACCTTTTCTCTCGGAAGAAGTACGAATACAAATGCACACAACCCACCGTGCGGCGAACCCAGCTGAACCACCCACAAGGGACAAACCCACCCAGATACGGTCATGCCAGCATCTCTCACTTTTCCAAACAGGTTTGTTTTCATGGCACAGCCGCCAAAGCCCGAAGATGCCTGGTGGCATACCTAACAGGCAGTCATGACAGGTGACGTTTGCCGGGGATCCTGTCCCCACTGCTACAACACCCCTGCGAGGTAGGGCCTGTGCGGATGGAGGCGTGAAGCTGCTACTTCGCCGGCTGGAGGTCTTAGCTGGTGAGCAGCTGGTCTGCGGTTCGACTCTGGGCACTGTCTCCTGCGTGGCGCCAGCCCCACCCCCACCCCGTGGCACCGACTCCTGGGAAGCGCCCGGTGTGCCACCGCAAGAACGGCCTGGGTGATCCCAGCAGCGAAAGACATGTTTGGTATCTGACCCGCTGGCGACCATCGTTCTAACGTGGACCCAACCCCCATGTGGCCAGGCACCGAGCTTTCTCTGCGCTTTTTCTGGGCTGTGCTCTCAACTTTCTCCCTCTCTCTGGTGCGGCAGAAGCCCTCAGCGCCACCCCATATGGTGGGCCCCCTCTCGAACGAGGCTGGGAGGCTGCCACAGACTCCACTACCCCGCGACACTGGCATTTTCTGATTTCCCGGTGGACAGACGGCTCCTCTGGGCAACTGCACCACTCAGATATTAGCAAGTCTTGTTCATCTCTACAGATAAGCTGGCGAAGGACCAGGCACGTTCCCACTGGACTTTCTGCTAATGTGTCTTGTTTCACAGAATCCAGTGAGTCATTCTGTCTTTGCTCATTAAGGTTAAGGCCCACCTCCGATTCCATCCTGTCCTGGCTTTCCGAAAGGCCACTTGCTTGCTGCCTCCTCCCCATTATCAAGGTGCGACAGAGGTGGCGGCCACAACGATGATCAGAGGATACAGGCTGGGTGTGTTTCCCTCCCAAGATCCTCAGCTTACTATGTGGAAGCAGTTGCTTAGGCATTTCTCACTTAAATATTGAACTGAATATTCCATTTCGATCCAGTTCATCCTCAGGGCTCAAGAGTGCTGGCCTGGCATGGCCTGGAAGGGAATTAGGGGCAAGCGTGTATCTGCCTGCCCTTGGGGAGGGCAGGGGCTGAGTGCTGGGATTTGCTTCAGCACACGGAATCCTGATAAGCAAGGCTTGGAGGTCAGAGATATTACCAAAGTCGTTCTTCAGGAAAAAGGGGAAAAAGCCACTGGGACAGTTTTTTTTTGTTTTTTTTTTTTGAGTGGGGAGGGCGTGGGGAAGGCCAGTTCTAAAACCAAAATGAATTCTGTGCCCCTCCTTGCTTTGTAGCCCGGCGCAAGTAATTTGACCCGAGCCTTGGTTTCCTCCTCTGCGAAATGGGACAAACCCATCTTATTCTTAGGAATCCACTGCAAGCAGCAATGACTCGCATGTGAGCGTGTGGAAACCGCAAAGCTCTGTGCGCTATTCTCACTGCGCTGCTGTCGGCCAGCACGTCATCAATGTTATTCAAGCACGCTTAGTAAGGACCACAATAGTGAATGGCTTTTTCCTAACTACCACCCGTACTTCTGGGGATCCAAAAGGGACAAGACTTTCAGAATAGAAAAGGAACAGTTATAGATGATGTGCTTCCAAATACAGAAAGGTAGGAGAATCTTTTATGATGCTGTATCATTATAGTACAGCTATAGTCGTTCCGCCGCGATTTAAAGCCCGTCTGGAAGAATGCTACCCAAAATAGCAGACCCAGAGGTTTTAATAACCTTATCAATCTTCCGTGCGAATGAGCGCGTGCCTGACAGCTCCAGGCCAGACAGAGGTCCCATCGGGCCTAAAAGAGAGCCCTTTAATAATTTAAGTGTGCCCGCGGCCAGGCTGCTTGAATCGGCTGGGCACCATGGCCCAACCCGTCCCAGGGACGTCCTCGCAAAGCCAGTGGCAGCTTCACCCCCTCTCCTGTCCCCTGTTCTCCTCGCCCAAGGGCCCCTCCATGCTTTGCACAGCCCGGTCCTTTCTGCTGCGAGGCTTCTCCTAGTCTCCTAGGCAACGGGGAGAAAAGCCAGGGCTCTTTCCTGTCATCCCCTTGAAAGACCCAGGGCCCATTGTCCTGCTGTCTGTGCCTTATTCTTTTGTGACACTGACCTCAGTCGCCGTGTATTATTTTGCTCCTGAAACATTTGGGAAGAATCCCTAAGAGGGTTCAGGGGATGTGAGAGGGGTGGGGGGGAATGAAGGATTCTGGGAAATAAGGCCAAGAGTGTCTGCCAGTCCCCCCCAAGGCGGGGGGACAGCCACTCGATGCCCGGAACACTCCTGGCTTGTGCACCTCAGGGCCCCAGTAGCCACCACCAGGAGCCCAGAGCTCAGAGGACACGCTCAGAGCAGGACGTGGTGGCTGTTGGGTGCGGGCTCCACGGGCAGCTCGGAATTCACACCTCGGGTCTCGGACGACTGTTTCTCTCCCTGAGCCTTAATTTTCTCATCTGGAAACTGGAACGAAGAACAGACCACCTCACAGTAAACATCGGCTCTTGTTACCGGTGCAGTAGGAGGGGGACTTGAAATGCCTTTCTTCATCCACCAGCCCGCTAGTCATCTAAACGTTCAGCCAGTCAGACCAGCGTTTACTGAGTTCCCACTCTGCAAGCCACGCCACGGGCACTGCGGACAAAAGTCACAAGGAGAGTCTGTGGGACACCGTTGGGCCAGTGGCGGTGGTGTGGGTACGCTGGGTTTTCATTCATTGTCTCGTTTCGTCCGGTTAACAACCTGTGGGGGCGGCATCCACTCCCAGTTCTCAGATAAGGCCCCTGGGGCTCAGAGAGGTTTGGGGGCCAGCCCAAGGGTGCCCAGCCAGCAAGGATCCAAACCCATACCTACACTTCTAATTCTACCTTCTATGCCTCTTCCCCGGGCACGTGCAAGCAGGAGACAGACAGAAACGCACATAGCTTCAATTCTCAGCACCTGCCGGTCCAGCCACCGGCCCAGGCACACCTCCCACTTCCACACAGGTCAGGGGTACACACTTGTGTGCCCTGGTCACTTGTTTGTCCTCTGCCTTCTGGCAAACGCAGAGCAAAGCCGGCAAGGTGAGCAGAAAGGAACCTAAGGGAGTGAGGGCACTCATCCAAGCCGCTGATGGCGAGGTCAGGAAACGACCTGGGAGACCTGCATATCACAGATCAGTTTCAAAACGGGGAAGTAAACACAGGATCACATTTTTAAATTACGTTAAAGTAAGAGTATAGGGGCGCCTGGGTGGCTCAGTCGGTTAAACTTCCGACTTCAGCTCAGGTCACAATCTCGCATCTCGCGGTTTGTGAGTTCGAGCCCCGCGTCGGGCTCTGGGCTGACAGCTCGGAGCCTGGCGCCTGCTTGGATTCTGTGTCTCCCTCTCTCTCTGTCCCTCCCCCACTCATACTCTGTGTCTCTGTCTGATGAATAAACGTTAAAAAAAAAAAAGAGCATGAGGGGCGCCTGGGTGGCTTAGTCGGTTAAGCGTCCGACTTTCGCTTAGGTCATGATCTCACGGTTTGTGGGTTCGAGCCCCACGTCGGGCTCTGTGCTGACTGCCAGTTCCGGAGCCTGGAGCCTGTTTCAGAGTCTGTGACTCCCTCTCTCTCTGACCCTCCCCTGCTCATGCTATCTCTCTCTCTCTCTTAGAAACAAAAACATTTTTTAAAAAATTTAAAAAAAAAAGAGCATGAAATATGTCATCAACTGTAAAGGAAGGTTTTAATAGAAGGAGATGATTGCAGAATGAAGGACAGTCCTCAGAAAAGACAGTTACCTTTTACACACACACATGCACACACACGCACACACGTGCACACACACACAGAGGAAGTTGTGGCTGTTGGTGCTGTTTTTAACACAGTCCTTATTATTTCTCATTTTACTGAGGTCCAGTGAAGACTTCTGCTGTGCCTTAGACCACGGGGAGGGAGTGAGGAAGAGAAAGAGGTGGAGAGATCAAGAGATCAAGAACTTTTCCTTATGCGTAATGTGACATTCTAAGCAATACCGACTCACGCGGCCCCCCCCTTCACCAACATACCCAAATTGGGATGAAATCCCCAACCTTTTGGTCAAGATACAAAGTACAACGAGAGAGTCATAGCCGTCACAGCTATTAGCTGTAAGCAAGCACAGATGCTTACCACACATAGCCGACCACGCAGTTTCCCACCCCTCTCCTTCCCACTCAAGAGAACAGATTTGAATGTGAGGGACTAAGAATGACATTATTACAGAAATAACTTGGAGTTGGCGCTGATTTATTATTATTACTGTTTTACCATTCACAACTGCTCGTTACCGGGGACATCTCACAACCAGCCACGACTTAGTGGTTGCGTTGTGAGTCCAGACAATCACTTGAGGCTGAAGGACCTTCTCTCCTCTCCTGTAGATGCCCCAGGGCACTAGTCCAGTGTTGGGGCATCTACCGTGTTGGGAAGTCCAACAGATATCTATATTGTAATTAAATTATATTTCATTTGCTTCCTGAGAAGGGAGGAGACCTATCAAATCCATTCAATAGTATTTACTGAGCACTGCCCGTGAGCAAGGCAACAGGATGGGGTGCTCTACATCCAGGATCTCATTTGCTGCCCCCTCCCCCCAGCAACTCTGTTACACAGGTGCTATTATCCCTACTTTTCTGATGGCTATGATGGCTGAGAAAAGGAAAGTGACTTTCTACCCAGCTAATAAATGGAGGAGCGAGGATTCCCTCAGTCCATAGGGCTTCGAGATTATGCTTTTTCAGTGACTCCACTTTAAGAGACAGTCTCTGCTTTTTCAAGGGGCTTATAATCTGAAAGACGAACACAGATACATGAGGACTAACTATGTTTCACGGCAGAAAGCAGTACATGCCACAAGGTGGACGCAGGGATAGAGGCAGGAAGAGACTTCTAGAAGGGGCAGGGGAGAGGATGGCAAGAAAAAAAAAAAGCTTGGTGGCAGGGACAGCATCTGAGTGGGAATCCTAGCGAGCAGACAAGGTGAGGAAGACACTGTAGGCAGAGAGATGAACACACACAGGGATGTCAAAGAAGAAAGCTCAAAGCCATTTTCTGGGAAAGTCCAATGGTTCCATTTGGCTGGGCGACAGACCTCGGCACAGGAGAAGGGAGACAGAAGGCTGGGAAACAATGCTGGGGTCGGGTTTATGGAATCACAGAAAGGCCCTAAAACCTAGGCTTGAGAAGTGTGGATATTTTAATGGGGAATGAGAGACCCTTCGGACATCTCTTGGGGGTCAGTGATACCGCACTGTTTTCAGGTGGCGGGGTAAACAGAAACGATGGAGGAAGGGATCCCAGTCAGGAAGTTACGGCACTGGCTCAGGTGATGGGCATTAAAGACCTGAACCAGGAAAGTAGCTTCTGGAATGGAGATGTGAGATCCTCAAGGGGGCAGAATCAAAGCAACCTGACACTTGTCTGAGTGGGAGGGGACGGCAGAGGGAGGGAGGATGGCCATGCCCCTGAGAAAGACTGGGCACGTCAGGCAGAACAGATGGGTGGTAAAGAAGTGGGCCAGTTTGATTTTAGAACTCCTGAGTGTAAATCGCTGGTAAGACGTGCAAAGAGAGGTGCCTCTTTTTCGGATCAGGAGTCCGTAATCACCAAATCACGCATCACCAGGCACACAGAAGGGAAGCTGTCGAGTCCAACCACCACAGCAATATATCACACCCTGCCCTCACCCCCACCCCAAAGTATCCTGAACCATGAAAGCCCAGGAGAAAGATCAGAGCAGCAGATCTGGGTTTCATGAAGAAATGACGGCTGATAAGGGAGCTGATGACACTTCTCAGAGGGGGAAAATGTGGGGACGTCAGAGACAAAGGAAGTGAGGAGTGAGGAGAAAAGGAAAAAATATGCAATGACAAATACTGAATCTACACTGGACCAGACTCTTAAAAAAAAAAAAAAAAGTTTATTTATTTTGAGAAAAGGGGGAGGGGCAGAGAAAGAGAATCCCAAGCAGGCTGGGGGTAGCCAGCACACAGCCCTCGGAGGAGCTGGAACTCACCAACCGTGAGATCATGACCTGAGCCAAAATCAAGAGTCCCACACTTAATCAACGGAGCCACCCAGGCGCTCTGGACCAGACCCTTCAACTTCAATTCCTTAACCTCAGAATTCCCCCCAAAGCGGTGTATCCTGATTTTATATATACTCAGACTAGAGTCCAGTGAGGTTGGATAACTTGCTAAGATCCTGTAACTGGGAATCCAAATTGGCTTTGTCAAGTTCTTTTCACTATATCCATGGGTAGGTAGCACATCCTCAGGGAAGCCTATACAGATCAAAGAATCACATCCTAGAACGTCAGGGTCTAAGAGGCCTTAGAGATTATTCAATCCAACTTCTATTTACAGACGGGGAAACTGAGGCCCAAAGCAGGAAATGACCAGCCTGGGATCCCAGCACGTCACAACTGTCCAAATCAAGCGTCCTGGGCCAAGGCGACAGCGACCACCGTTTCAGCCTCGGGAGTGGGGAACTGCTCCGCGAAGCGCGGGGGAGATTAAGGTCCTGGGGGAGGGGGGAGGGAGGTCGGGTCAGGGAGGATGGGGAACCGCGCAGCGTGACGGGGCTTCGGGTGTGCGCGGGAAGGAGCACCCTGTAAAGTCGCCACATCTAATCGGTCACGGCCGACTGCCCAGGTCCCCGAAGTGAGGGGGTGGGGGTTGGGAGGACCTGAGGATGGGGACCAGCAGGCAGGAGACTTGAGGTGGGGCCTCCGCGATGGGCGAGGCCCCACCCGCCCCGCTACGCCTCGCGGCCCCGCTTCGGGCCGGCCCTCCCCGCCCGGCTGCCCGCCGCGCCCCAGGGCCTCACCTGCTCCCGCGGGGGCCGGAGCCGGGGCCACAGCCAGCGCACCCCCGCCAGGGTTGTCAAGGAGCGAAACAAGAGTGTCTTAGCAACAACAAGGAAGTCCTGCCCCCTCACCGGACGTTGGCAGGAATTTCACTTTTTATTGGTGAACAAAAGTGCCAATCAACGTTAAAGGCCCCTAAACGTAAGTCTTATACAGAAAGGGGCGGGGCTAGAGGCAAGGGAGGCGGAGCTTCAGTTATAGTCGTCTCAGGTGGGCCTGAGGAGCCAGGGAGGTACAGAAGTTCTCATTTTGGAGAAACTAACTTTGAAGAGTGGAATTACTTTGGACGCTTCTTTGAGCCATTTGAAATTACAAATTCACTTTGTTGACGTCCTGACCCTAAGATACTACTTTATTACAATCTCAAAAGCCTAATAGCTAGCATTTATGTAGACTTTGCAACAAGTATTTCATGTGATTCTTATTATTTATTTATTTATTTTTTTTAGGTAATAATATTCGGAACCCCATCTGAATTAAGGTTCAGAGAGGTTAAGTAACTTGTTAGAGGAAAGAATCAAAGTTAAAACTCCCTGACATTGAACCAGGTGCTCTTTCCACTGTAGCACACCCACACAACGATTTCCTAATCCGTAGGGGATATTGTACCATCTAATTTAAAGACACAGTTGTCCAGAGCCCGCCTTTTCTTCTCCTTAGGAGGGAAAATTATATCTGAAATATTAGTGCAACTAGGGAGAAAGGAAGAGGAGGAGGAGAGAAGAACCTGCAGATTCCATTATTTGATTGATGGGTGAAAGGGTTGGTGGGAAACATTTACTTTTTCATGTTGGTACTCAGGGCAAAACCCCACTTCACATTCACTGGCATCTGCTGAGAACTCAGCCCGGGCCAGGTGCTGGTCATTCAGAGAAGAGTAAGATGAAGACCTTGGTCCCAGAGAAGACAGTCCAGTGAAGGTACAGCTGTGTCAACAAATAGATATAGAAGACTTTATTCTACCTGTACTCTGGTACAGGTGTGGGGTACTGATTCTCTCCAAGGAGGGAGCAACTAACTCTCAGAGGAAGTGGTTCTTGAGTTTGCTTCATCTAAGGCCACTAGTAGGCTAATGAGGGTGGGAGAGCACAATTTACTGGGGAACAGCCAGTGACTCCATGAAGCCTGGGTTGAGGATGAATGTGGTACAGTGGGAAGTGACAGTGAAAAGGGTGAGGGTGAAAATGCAGAGGGAAGTAGGGACCACAAGAGTCAGAAGGATTTTGAATGCCATGTTCAGGGACTTGGGTATTCCTTGGAGTGTTCCCTGGTGTTCTCGTGGGTGAGAGTGGTGAAAGTAGCTGTTGAACAGTTTCAAGTAGGGCAGAAACATGGTCAGATCTGCGTTATGGAAAGATCACTTGGGCGATGAATATGGTGGGTCGGACTTGGAGTGGGTAGACAGAAGGTGGGCACAGTGGGTTTGGTTTTGAGACTTGGCAGCTTGAGGTGTGCTTCGCCCTTGCCAATTCCCAAATCGCCTTCCTGGTGCAGTCTGAGGGTCCATAGAATGTCTGACTCAGCCTCCAGATTTCCCAGTCCGCTTTGCCAAGTTTCTCCAAGAGATGGAAGTTGGCCTTTGAGGGGGATGAAGCTCTCGCCTCCGCCTCTCATCCAAACTTCTAAAAGGGGTCCACGTTTGCTGTGTTCTCTTTCTCACCTCCCATTCAGTCTTCAGCCCACTACAATCTGGCTTCCACTCCCACGCTGCCACCACCGAAATTACCTCTTCCATGGTTACCGGTGACCTCCTGAAAAGCGGAATCCAACAAACCCTTTTAGTCTTTATCTTTCTGGACCCATCCCCTCTTCATGAAATTCTCTACTCCAGAAGTAGTGCCTGCAGAACTCTTTACAATGCAGATTCTAGGGCCCCGTGGCATCAGAATAGTGACGGGCAGGAATCTGTATTTTTCACAAGTACCCCTGGTACACATTCACAGATGAGAATCACTGCTCTATCCTAACATCTGGGACACTTCATTTTCCTGGATCTCCTCAAACTTCTCTTCCTTTCTGGCTCCCTTTTCCTTTGCTTTCTATGACCAGCTTGACTCTATTTTCTCCTTACCAACGTTCTTAAATTTCATCCTACCCTACGTCACATCCTCATCAGCAAGAGTTTCCCTTGGTCACATTTCCTAGGCTTAATACTCTGGAAAAGCCCCTCTGGTGATTCCAAACCCTCCCAGGGAGTTATGCCATCCCACGCATATCTTGTTGAGAATTGCTGCCTTAATTAAGTCTTGTCCTCTGGGGATCTCATTTACGCCCATGGTTCCATTGTCAGACCATCTCCACCAGAATGCCCCACAACACCTTCAAAGTCAATATGTCCCAAACTGAGTTGATCGTCTCCCTCTAATTTGCTCTCTCTATATCCCGCATCTCAATAAGTGGCACCTCCAAGTTGCTTCTATCAGAAACCAGAGAATTGTGTGCTTCACACTTACCTCTCTCTGTCATCTCCCACCTCAAGTCCATCACAAGCTTCATTCTGACTCTATGTTCTGATTACAGCCCCCTTCTGGCTGTCTTCATGGCACTCCCCACGTGCTCTGCACTATGATCCCATCCGTATTATTGCAACATCTTCCTAAAGGGACTCCCTGACTACAGTCTTACCCTTCTCCAATCCATCTTCCATGCCACTGTTAACATGATGCTTCAAAACCCAATTTCACCACTGCATTCCTCCAACAACTCCTTTCCTTTGTCCACAATTCCCCATCACCTTCGAGGTGACATCTAGATGCCCTGACCTGGCATTTGAGGCTCTCCCCTGGTGCGGCCCATGGGTGCCTCCATCTCTTCTTGCTGCTCCTTCCCCTGGGCTCTGCTCCCCAGCTACACTAACTCTTATGGCTCTCTACACCCTCCAAACTGGTTCTCACCTTGTCTTTGCTCACACATTCTTTCTTGGCCACATTCTCCTTCTAGCCTTCCAAAGGGAGCCCATACACCTTTAGTCTAAGTTGGATACACTGGGATTCCACCAGTTGCAACTGCAAGAGACCTCTGTGCTCCCATCTCCTCTGGTGTCTGTTTCTGTCTTTGCTCTTGTTCACAGTTCAATTCTCTGTCTTCCCTTGTGAGCTCCCGGAGAGCAGGGGAGCTCTCTATACATCTCTATACATCTCTATAGCCCTGTGTTACACACAGGATCTAGCAGACCATAGGAGCTTAGTAAATGTTTCATGAATGGATGTATGAGTGAATGAATGAAGTGGATAGGGGCTTGCCCTACTTCTTCACACTCAGCTCTTGTCAATCCTCAAGATCCAGCCAACATTCCAGCTATACCCTTTCATGCGCTGCTCCTGCTCCTGATGTTTAACATGGCTGTTGGGGGACACCCTGGAATCAGTTAGCAACTGGATCAGCTGCAAGTTACAGAGTGACTTAAAACAACATAAATGTATTATCTTATAGTTCTGGAGTCAGAAGTCTGACATGGGTTTCACTGGGCTAAAATCAAACACAGGGCTGTGTTCTTCCTGAGGCTATAGGCTATAGGTGAGACTGCGTCTTTTCCCTTTTCCAGCATCTAGAGATTTTCCACATCCCTCTGACCCTGGCTCTTCAGCTTCCCTTTCTGAGGACTCCTGTGATTACATCAGGTCTATCCAGATAATCCAGGTTAATCTCCTTATCTCCTGGTCATCTGATTAGCAACCTTAATTCCACCTGCAGTCTTATTTCCCCTTGCCATGTGGCATAACATATTCCCAGGTTTTAGGGATCAGGATCTAGACATCTTTGGGGGACATTCTTCTACCTACTGTTGTCAGTTTGGGTAAATCTTTCACAGGTATTCAAAAGAGTGTATACACTGTAGTTGCTCTGTTAGGTTAAGTTTGTTAATTGTTTTGTTCAAATTTTCTATACTCATACTGAATTTTTTGTCTGTTAGCTTTATAAGTTTTGAGGGAGTTGTGTTAACATACCCCACTACAATTGTGTGTTTGTCAAATTTTCCTTTCGGTTCTGCCCATTTTTATTTTCTATATTATGAAGCTGTGTTAATATACGCACCCAAATGTATAATTGTTATATCATCCTAAAAGGCTGACTCTTTATCACCATGAACTGTCCTTTTTATCTCTAGCCATGCTTCTAGTCTTAGAGTCTAGTTTGAACTAAGTACAGCTACTTTCTTTGAATTAGTGTTTGCACGGTACATATTTTTCTATCTTTTACATTTCAACCTGTCATATAACCAGTTACACAATATTAATATTTTTGTTGGAATATTTCTCTTTTTTTAAAAAATATTTATTTTTGGGAGAGTGCATGCGGGGGGCAGGGGCAGAGAGAGGGGGACGGAAGATCTGAAGCGGGCTCTGTGCTGACAGGCTGACAGCAGCGAGCCTGATGTGGGGCTCAAACTCACAAACCGCGAGATCATGACCTGAGCCGAAGTTGTTATGCTCAACAGACTGAGCTACTCAGGCGCCCCTGGAATATTTCTTTTTTAATATTTAATGTAATGACCCACTTACATTACATTCAGCTTTAAATCTGTCAACTTACTATTCATTTTCTTTCTTTTTTTTTTAAATGTTTTATTTATTTTTGAGAGAGAGATAGAGACAGAATGAGCAGAGGAGGGTCAGAAAGAGAGGAGTCACAGGATCTGAAGACAGGCTCCAGGCTCTGAGCTAGCTGTCAGCACAGAGCCCGACATGGGGCTCGAACCCACAAACTGTGAGATCATGACCTGAGCCGAAGTCGGACGCTTAACCGACTGAACCACCCAGGCACTCCTTACTATTCATTTTCTATTTATTCCACTCTTTTTGTGTTCCCTTTTATTCCCTTTGAAAGCCTTCTTTTGAATTATTTTTATTATTCTTTTTTCTCCTGCTGTAACATGTTAGTTACATATTCTCTTACCATCCTTTTAGTGGTTACCCTAGGAAAATAAAATATTGATCCTAGATGTAGCAAACTCTAATATAAGATCAATACTCTTACTACATCCAGGACAATGCATGGGAATTAGAATATTTTAACTGCATTTGGGGCGCCTGGGTGGCTTAGTCGGTTAAGCG